GGGGTGAGGGGATGGGTTAGCCTGGTGATGGGTATTAAAGAGGGCACGTTCTGCGTGGAGCACTGGGTGTTATACACAAACAATGAATCATGGGACACTACATCAAAAACTAATGATGTAATGTGTGGTGATTAACAACATAAAAAAAAAGATAAACTCTACCATCTTGCAAGCTGTTTTTGATGTGTTCTATCTACTTTTGGTCCCCCTTTTCCTCTTTCTTTGCTTTCTTTTGGATTGAGAATTTTTTATGATCCCGTTTTATCTCTACAATTGACTTATTATTTATACCTTTAAAAAATTTAGTGGCTACGGGCGCCTGGGTGGCTCAGTTCGTTGGGCAACTGCCTTCGGCTCAGGTCATGATCCTGGAGTCCCCGGATCGAGTCCCTCATCAGGCTCCCTGCTCAGCAGGGAGTCTGCTTCTCCCTCTGACCCTCCCCCCTCTCATGCTCTCTCTATCTCATTCTCTCTCTCAAATAAATAAATGAAATCTTTAAAAAAATTCAGTGGTTACTCTTGGGTTTACAATATACATCTATAATCAGAGCCGACCTTCAAATAATAATGTATCACTTAACATCTAGTTTAAGACCCTGCAATTCCCAGTTCCTCTACCCATTTTTTGTGCTATTTTTTATACATTTTATTTTGCATATGCTATAAACAAAATACGTTCCTATTGTTGCTTAGATGTTTATCTTTTAGAGCAATTAAAGATATTTTAAATTAAAAAATTATTTTATTTTCATATGTTCCATTCCTGGACTTTACTTCTTTGTTGTGTAGACGTACTTTCTGTCAGGTATACGCATATATAGTAGTGCTGGTCTACTAGAAATTCTCTTAGTGTTTGAGAAAGTTTTTACTTCTCCATCTTTTAAAAGATATTTTCTCTGGGTATAGAATTCTGGGTTGGCAGCTGTTTTTCTGTGGTAAAGGCATTATTACTCTTTTATCTTCTGATGTTTCAAATGAGAAGTCTGCTCTAATTTTTGTCTTTGTTCCTGTATGTTTAATGTGTGTTTTTAATTTGGCTTTCGTCAGGCTGTTCTTTGTCTTCAGGATTTTATCTTTGTTTTCAGCAGCTTGAATATGATATATGTAGGTGTGGAGTTTTGTTTTTGTTTCTGTATTTGTTCTTTTTGGTATTATCTGAGATTCTTGGATCTATAGTTTAGTGTCTGTCTTTAATTTTGGAAAATTCTTGGCTACTATGTCTTCCAATATTTTTTCTGCCCATTCTTGGTCCTCTCCTTTTGAGATTCCAATTGTACATAAGTTAGATTGCTTAATATGTCCCATAGCTCTTGGATGTTCTCTTACATTATTGTTATTGATTTAAAAAAAAATTCTGTTTTTCTCTTTCTTTTTCAGTTTGGGTAATTTCTATTGACCTGTCCTCAATTTCATGGATTCTTTCTTTGGCTCTGTCAAGTATGTTGATGACCCTGTTAGAGGCATTCATTCTTTATCTGTTACTGTGTTTTTCACTTTTAGTATTTCAATTCAATTCTTTCTTACAGTTTCTATCACTCTGTTGCATTTTCTAGTATTAACTTTTATCTTTTTCCTTCCCAGATAGCAGCCATGTAGGGCAAGAGTCAGATTTTCTTAGTTTTTTCTTATGCCTCTTTTGCATTTCTTAGGTTTGGAAAAGCCTTTTGACCCAGGAATCACCAAGAGCTGTTCCAAAATAGAAGGACATAAGAAATTTATTCAAACTAGCTTGGCCTGAGTAGGAAGTAAGAAGAGAGTTATAGACGGGTTGCATTGAGGAATGAAGAGCTGCTGTGTGTATCCACAAATCTGATTGACTTGCTCAGGGTAAGTGGTCATCTAAATCTGTTCTTTTCTTCTTTATCTACTTAATAAGACCATCAAGTAACTATTATTTCACTCTTGTTAAGTGGGATGACCAGCTATAGCCCCTTCATCCAAAAAAAATTAACATGTGTTACTTTTACAATAAAGGACATATTTTTCTGTCCGTTCCAAAACAGGAAATTTTCTGAGTCTTCCATCTAATATATTTTATCTCTATTTGGCCACAGTCATAAAGTTGTGTGTTCATTTGTTCTTTGATTCATTCAAACATTTTGTAAGCCTACTGTCTCAGAGTTGCTATGCATTTGTTGGTGACTACAGTGATGAACAAGATATCCTTTCCTCCAGGAGCTAGAGAGACTCTTACTTAACTAACAGAAGAGTGTGATTAGTACTATAATGAAGGTGCAAAATGCTATGGGACACAGAGGGTATAGTGATTCACTTGGGCTAGGGGATTAGTCGGTGTAGAAGAGGTAGCATTTTATTTTTCTTTTTTATTTTTTTTAAACATTTCATTTTATTTTTATTTTTTTTTAAGATTTTTATTTATTTGAGAGAGAAAATGAGATAGAGCATGAGAAGGGGGAGGGTCAGAGGGAGAAGCAGACTCTCTGCCGAGTAGGGAGCCCGATGCGGGACTCGATCCCAGGACTCCAGGATCATGACCTGAGCCAAAGGCAGTCGCTTAACCAACTGAGCCACCCAGGCGTCTGAAGAGGTAGCATTTTAACTGGGTATAAAAATGATTAGAATCTTGATGGGCCTAGAGGTCAGTGGCCATTCTAAGTTAAGCAAACAGCTAACTCAAAGACATTGATTTGTGAAGTATCTGGTAAACAGTTTATGGTCTACTCCAAGAAAAAGACCATCTTATGTTTCAGGGACTTGCAGGTAGCAGTCAAGGTTTGAGACTAGATCCTGTTTTGCAGTATACCTGGGAGTGAAAAACTTGGAAAGAAGACAGTGATAGCAGGAGGAGACAGGCCACCGTGATACCTTTTCTAGAGGAAAAAACTGCAGGGGGAGCCAGGCAGAGATGGGAAGTCCTATACCCAATGACTTATTTGCTTTGACTTGGCTTTTTGTAGTCTGTTTTTTCCCCGATCAAGACATATGAGGCTCAGCTAAAGAAAGTGAATATAAGATACCTATCCCCAAACTGAACTCCTCTTAACTCTCATGAATGACAAATAGAACTGTTAAAATGTGTGAGCACTGAGAATTACTTAATCCATTAATTCTGGTGTTTTCTTCACTGTAGGGGGCTAAAGCATCTATCTTCAGAAATGTCTTTAGAAAATAAAGAGCAGTATGATCTGTCACCCAAGAATTCAGCTGAAGGAAATCACCAGCACAGTCCTCTGTCTAATATGCATCCAGCTCTTGAAAAGGAATCAAGTACCTACTCGAAGCAATTTGAAGCCAGCGATCAATGCACACCTTATCGTAGGATCCATATGGAGCCTCAAGAGAAACCAAGTCCTAACTTCAGGCAATTTGTCACTAAAAAACTGCAGAAGAGTTGCCAGTGCAGTCCAACCAAAGCCAAAAATATGATTTTGGGTTTCCTTCCTGTTTTGCAATGGCTCCCAAAATATGATCTGAAGAAAAACATTTTAGGGGATATGATGTCTGGCCTGATTGTGGGCATCTTATTAGTGCCCCAGTCCATTGCTTATTCCCTCTTGGCTGGTCAGGAGCCTATCTATGGTCTGTACACGTCTTTTTTTGCCAGCATCATTTATTTCCTGTTGGGCACCTCCCGTCACATCTCTGTGGGCATTTTTGGAATCTTGTGCCTTATGATTGGTGAGGTAGTTGACCGAGAACTACACAAAGCTGGCTATGACACTGCCCAAAACGCGCCTTCTCATTTAGGAATGGTTTCAAATGGGAGCGCGTTATTAAACCAGACATCAGACTGGCTGTGTGACAGGAGTTGCTATGCAATTGCAGTTGGCAGCACTGTGACCTTTATGGCTGGAGTTTATCAGGTAAGAAACAGTGGAGGAAGTGGTTACTTCTAGCAAAAGAAGTCACTGTACATGAAATGTCAGATCTGTAAAGGATCCCAGAGATCATAATGATTAAAGCTGTCATTCGTTAAATGCTGCTTAGGATATGTGAGGGATAGAGCCAAAATTCAAACCCTGGTCTGACTCCCCAGGTACGTTAAGGCTGCTTCTCTTTGCTCAACCTTAGGCTGCCAATTAACCAGTGAGTTTCATTCAGCCAGATTGTCATTATTTAGTCGTAAAAATGTTGACCAGAAAGGGACCTGAGATCACTCAGTACAACTCCTTCATTTTATATGTTGAGAAACAATGAGTTTGCTTGAGATGATGTGCGGTTGGTTATCGGCAGAGTCACCATCAACGAGCGGAGGAGGATGCCAGGCTGAGGGCTGGCAGAAGGAAGAGTGCGCGAGCCTTCAAATTATAGATGCCTCCCCTCCCCACCTTCAGATTTGCTGCTCTAGTGAGTGACTCTCACCACAGATAGCAATTGTCTTGGACTTCTGGGGAACAAGTTGAGAACCACTATTTCATGTTATTAGCCAGAAGAAAGGATTAGAAAATGAGATTCTCTTCGGGTCTCCCATAGAATCTACTAACCCACCATTATCATCATGCCCCTGTCTTTTGGCATCCAGGAGTTAGTGCCGCACTAAACCTCTTCTCCCTTAGAGGCACTTGGTTCCAATATGGGCAAGGGGAGAGTGAGTAGCTCATTTCCTGTTGTTCCTGGTGAAGAGGGGAGGAAGAAGTGGATAATGTGCAAAAGAGTGATGCTCTGCAGGGTCCGTTTTTGCTTTTTTATTAGTATGTCTCACCAATGAGAAAGGGCTCTGTAGAATTCTGAGGAATCATTGGGAAGAGGAAAAAATAAAGAAATAAAAAAGTTTTGTCTTTGAGGATGCAGATTTGGTATGGGGAGCAGTTTGGCCTAAGCACGTAGACACTGAATGAGAATAGTTTCTCAGCATGAGGTTAAAGAGTGTGTTCTATAATAATTTTAAATGTGATTCTTTGATGTGAATCCAGTTTTTTGTTTTATCAGTTAAAACTTCACTTTTATTGTAATGATTTGTAATTTAATGAAAACACATGGTTTTTTAATTAGGAGACTTTTTCCAGTTTGAGTTTTTATAATTTCTTGTGGATCCTTAAGAATTTTTTCTTTTTCAAAGAGGTCTGAACTCTATTCATGTTTAAGAAACATTGTAGAAGAAGGTAGGAATCCTAAGTTCTTGTCTCATCCGGGCTGAGTAACAGTGTGACTTTGGGCGAGTTGCTTAGCCCTCTGAGTGTCAGTAAAATGAGCCCTCTTTGTAAAATGAGAGGACTGATGTACAATTGGTTTTTTTCTACCTCTGACATTTTCTGATGCTCCAATGGTATGTCTCCATGCAAAGCAATGCCAAGGTATTTATTGGAGGGTTTAGAAGCTCTTTTACACTTATATGTAACACTTGTATATCCTTCCTTCCAGGTAGCGATGGGCTTCTTCCAAGTGGGCTTTGTTTCTGTCTACCTCTCAGATGCCTTGCTGAGTGGATTTGTCACTGGTGCCTCCTTCACTATTCTTACCTCTCAGGCCAAGTACCTCCTTGGGCTCAGCCTTCCTCGGAGTAATGGTGTGGGCTCGCTCATCACTACTTGGATACAAATCTTCAGAAACATCCATAAGGCCAACCTCTGTGATCTCATCACCAGCCTTTTGTGCCTTTTGGTTCTTTTGCCAACCAAAGAACTCAATGAGCACTTCAAGTTCAAGCTTAAGGCACCGATTCCTACTGAACTCATTGTCGTCGTGGCAGCCACATTAGCCTCTCATTTTGGAAAACTAAATGAGAAATACAATACCAGTATTGCTGGGCCTATTCCCACGGGGTTTATGCCACCGAAAGCACCAGACTGGAACCTAATTCCTAGTTTGGCTGTAGATGCAATAGCTATTTCGATTATTGGTTTTGCTATCACTGTATCACTTTCTGAGATGTTTGCCAAGAAACATGGCTACACAGTCAAAGCCAATCAGGAAATGTATGCCATTGGCTTTTGCAATATCATCCCCTCCTTCTTCCACTGCTTTACTACTAGTGCAGCTCTTGCAAAGACCTTGGTTAAAGAATCAACAGGCTGCCAAACTCAGCTTTCTGGTGTGGTGACAGCCTTGGTTCTTTTGTTGGTCCTCCTGGTAATAGCTCCTTTATTCTATTCCCTTCAGAAAAGTGTCCTTGGTGTAATCACCATTGTAAATCTCCGGGGAGCCCTACGTAAATTTAAGGATCTGCCCAAGATGTGGAAGGTTAGCAGAATGGATACAGTTATCTGGTTTGTTACCATGCTGTCCTCTGCACTGTTAAGTACTGAAATAGGCCTGCTAATTGGGGTTTGTTTTTCTATGTTTTGTGTCATTCTCCGCACTCAGAAGCCAAAGACTTCATTGCTTGGTTTGGTGGAAGAGTCTGAAACCTTTGAATCCGTGTCTGCTTACAAGAATCTTCAGACTAAGCCGGGCATCAAGATATTCCGTTTTGTAGCCCCTCTCTACTACATAAACAAAGAATGTTTTAAATCTGCTTTATACAAAAAAACTCTCAACCCAATCTTAGTAAAGGCAGCTCAGAAGAAGGCCGCAAAGAGAAAGATCACAAAGGAAACAGTGATTCTCAGTGGAATCCAGGACGAAGTTTCAGTGCAACTTTCCTATGATCCCTTGGAGCTTCATACCGTAGTGATTGACTGCAGCACTATACAGTTTTTAGATACAGCGGGGATCCATACACTGAAAGAAGTTCGTAGAGATTATGAAGCCATTGGCATCCGGGTTCTGCTGGCTCAATGCAATCCCTCTGTGAGGGATTCCCTGGCCTGCGGAGAGTATTTCAAAGAGGAAGAAGAAAACCTTCTCTTTTATAGTGTGTATGAAGCAGTGGCCTTTGCAGAATATCAGAATCAGAAAGGAGTATGTATTCCCAATGGTCTGAGCCTTTCCAGGGATTGACTGAGAAAGTAGATGGAAAGGAGAATGATGTCCAGCCAATAGGTTAAGGTTTGAAGTATATAACATTTTCTAGTTCCACAGTGGAAACTGTTGCACTTGAAATTTTAACCTGGGATGCCTGGGTGGCTCAGTCGGTTAAGCGTCTGCCTTCGGCTCAGGTCATAATACCAGGGTGCTGGGATCAAGCCCCATATCGGGCTCCCTGCTCAGTGGGGAGTCTGCTTCTCCCTCTCCCTCTGTGTGCTCGCCCTCACTCTCTCTCTAATAAACAAATAAATCTTAAAAAAAATTTTTTAACCTGTTGGTTAGACATTATTCCGTTGACGCCAATGGCCTCTGTAGGTACACAAATGCAGCAGAGTTTATAGTTGGGCAGAATCACAAAGAAGAAAATACTGTAGTTTCAGGCTTTCTTGCAGATATGAGGTATTCTTGGAATTAAATAAACATCTATTGAATTGAACTGTAAAGTAGCCCCCCAAACTCAGTTACCATGCTGTTGCAGAAGATAAGCATTTGGACTCTTCCTTGAGAACCAGGAGGTAAAGCTGACATTGACGTGGCAAGTGCTGAGCCCACTCGCTGTGACTCTTTGGAGAGGGAGTAGAAAGGAGGCAAGGCGACAGTATTGTGCCTTCTCTGATACCAGCAAGCCAGGAGACTTCTGGGGCAAAAGGTTTGTCCTTACTTGTACTTCTCTGTTCCCAGTCTTTGCTCCCTAGACGGCAGTAGGATCTCTGGCTTTGAGTAGGAGAGCACCATCCCTTAAGGCAGGGAACCACAGGCGCAGTCTTATTGGGGGTTGGGTGGCTGAGCAGGCTGGTGAAATCCTACCGCTGGCCTCATGTTACCTAGAGCATTCTTTGTAATACATTTGATGTTTTATTCCTGCCTTTTTATTTAGGGTAAGTAGGTAAGTGAAGAGCTCTTCTTCATAATCAGCCAGAATAATAGGAATCCTCCCTGTCTTTTCTGTGATCTCAATCTGTCCCTGTTTCTGAGTATTTCTCTACCATTAAGCTCTATTGTAGCTTTCATTCATTTAGTGTTTCTCATGGAATCTGTCTTACACTGCCGTGGATTACCAGCGACAAGCTTGCTGGGTAAAAGGCACAATACTGACTCCACAATTCTAGACAGCATTTTAAATGAGCTTGAGGCAACTGTTAAGGATGGATTGAAAAAAGGAATGGTTGACGGTTTCCCTTAAGAATTTGTTTACTTAGGGCGCCTGGGTGGCTCAGTTGGTTAAGCGACTGCCTTCGGCTCAGGTCATGATCCTGGAGTCCCGGGATCGAGTCCCATATCGGGCTTCCTGCTCAGCAGGGAGTCTGCTTCTCCCTCTGACCCTCTTCCCTCTCGTGCTTTCTATCTCTCATTCTCTCTCTCTCTCAAATAAATAAATAAAATCTTTAAAAAAAAAAGAATTTGTTTACTTAGTGGATTTTTTTTTTTCTTTCCCATGGCATTTTAGCAAGGGTCCCTGGGGATTGACAGTCTTTCTCAAATAGAAGATACTATTCATCTTTACTCTTGCAGGAATATTTTATTGTAACCAATGGAAAGGAGTCCATGGAAGTGATAAAGTGCTTCCAAAAGAACATCAATAATTAATTGGTAGATGTTTTAATGAAAACAACTAATGCTTACTGCCGTGCACCCTATTGATGTACAATAAATATGGATGACAGCGACAGCTTTTAACTCCTTGGGTCACCTAAAACTATTATGCAGGAGGATTTAGAAACATCACATTCATACATCCCAAGTTCTGTGTATATATTATTTATCACGGCTGGCTGCAGGTTGTGGCCACAGGAATAGTTCCTTTTTAAAAACAAGAATGTCCGACATTAAAAGCTTTTAATTCTGTATGTGGACCTTGATAGGCAACAAAAGAAAACAACAGGTTTTCCAAAGTTAGGACTAGGAGACTAATTTATGTGAGATTGAAACATTTAGCTACACTAAAGCAAGCAAAATGATTACAGAAATGCAAATCATTTTTAACCTGCTACTACATTCTAAACAACTTAAATATTTATGAGAAGCAAACCCTATGTGTAGGGCATCTGTTGGAGTGGGACACTTTTAAACATATGTAGCTTCCTTGTTGGCTCCAGAAACTCCAAGTGTTGCGTTTCTATTGGTAGAGCTCTGTCCATCTGTTTACATGGAAAATGCCTTTCTATTAAAACAAAACTGTTCCTCAATAAAAAAAAAAAAAAAGCTGGATTTCTGTCTTGGAAGTGATTGATTTCATGGTTAAATGTAATAGTACTAAATTTTGACATCCGTTTACAACTTAAGTCTAGAATTTCAGAAATACTAACTGCTGTTTGTTATGTGGGTTTTTTTCTTTTGTTGGTTTTTAGCAACTATTTGCCCTTTCTGTCCAGTTTTAGAAATAGTAATAATAAAATCACTGTGTCTTTGTTAGTTGTTTGTTTTTAATCCCTCTTACCCACCCCTCCCAAGCCAGGTTTGAATCCAGACCATTATAGATGTCTAATGCCATGTGAGAGAGTAAATGAGTACATGTTCAAGATGACCCTATCATTTAGCAAACACAAGCAAAAAAAAGTGTCCAAAGAATTTGGAAAATGGAGTAACAGGATCTGACTTTACCTGACACTTCTGTCCATATGTGTATATAAACAATTCTGAAGCTTTATGCAGTTAGCAGATTCTTGAATTATGTTCTGGTTTGTTCCTCTTCTACCCAAACAAACAAACAAACAAACGGGAGATTCTACTTTTGGCAGCCACTTGTAAAAACAATTAAGATTTCACTAGAATTTATACCTCACTTCTCTGCTTGAGTTGAGGTCCAGTTATACTGACACATTGTTGATTGCTAGTATTTAAAGAAACCAAGCCTGAAACCAAAATCTAATTCAACAAAACTATTATTTCCATTTTCTTTCTTGCTCAAGGCTTGGACTTTAGTTCAGTAGCTGATACTTTGACACACTTTATTGATACAAAAATATCTTGCTTACCCTAAACTTTAGAGTCTAAAGGAAGCATTTTCTCATTGCTTAATAACAAATGTATAAAATTCTAAATATCTTAAAATGGTCATTTAATTGAAACATAGTGTATACATTCTTGATGGTTAAAACTCTTACAGCTGGAGGGGTGGCATATGCCAATGCACAGAAAGAGTAAGGATAACATTCAAGAGGAGTGAAGGGAATACACCGTTGGAGAAAACTCTTGGACCGAATGGGGGAGAAAGGAGAGGGACTCAGTTGAATAGGATCCAACCCCTGGTTAGCCCCACTCAGCAGTAGGGAGATCAGGAATAGGAGCCACACCTTAGTTTGACAGCAGGCTCAGAACTGGGTTCTGTTTCTAGAAAGGGAGGGCAGATTCACCAAAGCTGAAAGAGCTGAAGAGCGTGTGGTACCCCAGAGTGGGGCAAAGGCCCAATTGACTGACTCTGGAGCATAGACTGAGGGACTGTAGCCTCTGATGGTGGTAAAAGTGACAAATGTCTAGTTGACAATTTTTTTTTTAATGGGACCAAAGGAAAACAAATTTGGATAGTCCAACTTAGCTTTTAAACAATAGTAGTCATTGAAACCAAAATTTGGGTTACAGTATGATAAATGGTGATCTTTAAACATGTATCAAGATGTTAGAGAGTTCATTAGACTATTCTAATGCTAATGAATATGTTTTAACAAGAACAATTATTCTCTGCAGGTGTATTTTCTTAATAGTTTGTCACTGAAGAACACATTGTCTGGATGTTAGCCCTACTCTTAATATATAAGTGAGAAAAAGGCAGTGAATTTCTTGGGAACTTAAATGGAGTCTAGAAGTTACAATGATAAATTTTAGCTCTGGTGATCTTTGTTGATGTTCTTAATGAATTGTTTTCCTCTCTCCATTGCTATAGATGAGCTATAGGTTCTTTTTGCACCAATGTAAATAAAACCTCAATACTTGGGGTGCCTGGCTGGCTCAGTCATTGAGCATCTGCCTTCAGCTCAGGTCATGATCCCAGGGTCCTGGGATCGAGCCCCACATCGGGCTCTCTGCTCAGCGGGAAGCCTGCTTCTCCCTCTCCCTCTGCTTGTGTTCCTTCTCTCGCTGTGTCTCTCTCTGTCAAATAAATAAAATCTTTAAGAAAAAAAAAGCAAAACCCTCCATACTTACTGAGGACCCATGCAGGTGTCTAGGGCCCTGGGCCAGGTGCTGGGACTATGGTACTAAATCTAGTAGGTGGGCTATACAGTAACTCTCCTAGGTAACACCTGGGGCACTTAGAGGTGCTTTATGGAGGGGCTTAGCTGAGCCTGGACCGAGGTCTGAACAGGAGACAGGCAACTGAGTCAAACAAGGAGGCCTGGATGCCCCGGTCTATTCAGGGAATGATTCCACAGTGAGATGGCAAAAACCCAATCAACAGGGTTTAGGCTTTGTTTAGTTTTTCTGTTCTTTGAGGTTTCTCTCTTTTCCCCCTGTTTTCTTTATCTGTTCTAGTGGTGCCTTAATTTGAAACTGGATTTTAAAAACTGCAAGGAGGAGGAAATTAGATCCAGAAGGCTTTTAGGCTTTGAACTAATTCGGCTTTTCTTTTGTATTAAGATTTTATTAGATAATCAAGATTAGAATCATCAAGTGTTAACACAAGAATGAAAAGTATAATGTGGGGTGGTGCCTGGGTGGCTCAGTTGGTTAAGTGTCTGCCTTTGGCTCAGGTCCTGATCACAAGGTCCTGAGATTGAGTCCTGCATCGGGCTCCTTGCTCAGTGGGGAGCCCGCTTCTCCCTCTCCCTCCCGCTCATTCTCTCTCTCTCTCTAAAATAAATAAAACCTTTAAAAAAAAAGAGTGAGAAGTATAATGGAACAGGCCAAAATAATGAACCTACTGCTTTGTTATCATAGCCTATTATTATTAAAGTAAAATACTATTGAAATATTGTAAGTTAAAGGTACATTTTAGTTTTTTTTTTTAAATGTTAGTAACTTTAGTGAAGGAGAATTTAGATCTGGGAGTATGGGAAGATTTATTTTTATAAGGTAATTTTTATCCTGACAAGGACTATTATTTTTAAAAGTGTTTTGCACCTAGAATTTTTTTTAAGATTTTATTTAT